TGTTATTAAATTAAATATTAATTTTAGAGAGAATAGATACATTATACTAATTCATATATTTTAAATGCTACATTGTACAAATTAAATTTAATGTTAAAAACGAATAAATATATAAAATGATTTTGTTGCATTATTTAAAATTTGTTCCAAACTTAAAATATTACATTTTAAATTATTCTCCAGGCAACTAATTCATTAGTAAGTTTTATACCCACTGCAAATAAAGCTACAGATATAACAAATGATTTTAAGAAATTATTTACAAATAATTCCTCATTTTTACATTGAAGTAGCCATTTATAAAGATTTTTTCTATATTCAGAGTTAATTAAATCATTATTTTGATTACATTTATTTTCAATTTGCATATGTATTGTCTGTATCAAAGCACCGAGACAAATATAGTAATAAGTTTTTTTGTGTGGAATATGCTGAAAATAATTATTAAATATATATTGTATATTTATTTATTTAAAACATATTTAAAAAAAAAAAGAAATTAGATAAAAATAAATCTTACATTTCTCCGAATTTTCTTTTGTTTAATAGAGTTGCATAATATAGGTAAAGACGGTTCACAAATATTATGTTTCATAGTCATTTTCAATTTTTATTTTAAAATTTTCATACATTTTATTACATTACGATGTAAAACTCAAAATTATTATATACAAACAAAAACCAAAAAGAATATCAAGACAGATGTTCTTTTGTTTAATATAAAATTCTTCGTTTTAAATGAAAGAAACATAAAATATGTTTCAAATTACTTAAAACTTATTATTTTTTCTTTCATTTCTTCATTAATGATAAGTGTTATTGATATAATAATATTCGTAAACGATTATAAAAATATGTACAATTATACAAACACAGCAAAATATAATGATTTGTATGTTTCTAAAAATATATTAATTTTCTTCTATCTTTATTATATATCATATATTATTTATATATATTATATTTATTTAAAATATATTATTATATTTATTTAAATTATATTTATTAAATATGTAATCACTTTTTTGTGCGTATTTAATATTTTTTTAACATTAATATTGTAGAATTTTCCATAATATATTGTCTATCTTATAATTGTCTATCTTATAATATAAATTTTTACATTATAAATATATTTATTATACATTTTATATTTTTGAAAATATATAAAATATAGTTTTAATAATTTGATTGAATCAATTTAAAATACGTGTAGACAAATATTTCTAATCTTAAAATTTGAAAAAAAATACTAAATATAATATACGAGAAAAGAAGGAAATTAATAAGGAAAATCTCAAGATAATTAATTAAAAAAATTCAATAAAGATGTAAATAGTGGGAGAACCAGTCGACCTTTGTTTCGATAGCTTCATCAACAATCTATTCTTTAGTCGATATCCTGATGTCGAACATAATGAACGTTATATTTTTTTAAAATATATGTGAAATTCATATTGAACTCTCAATAATTAAATAATAAAAGTGAAATTCATTATTTTATCTTTTTCCATAAAGTTTTTTTTCACGATAATATCGAAAATGATTAAATTATTTCTTTTAACTATTTTTCAAGCGATGATACTAAGTTATGCAGTCGCTCGTAAGTTATTAACTTTATCTTTTCAATTAATTTTTTAATTATTCAAATAATTTTCTTTTCTTAATTAAAATTATATTTTCGTTAAATAATTTTATCATTGTCATATATTTGAATAAGTTTAAAAAAAAAATGATAATGTCAAACTATACAACAATTTGCAACAAGATTATTATAGAATATTTATAATTGATCGATATATTTCGTTTGAATAGCATGAAATTAAAAAATTATGAAATGCTGTCATTGGAATCCTAATATGTTATATGTAAATATACGGATTGAATATACAGAATTTATATTGAATTTACATACAGAATTTATTATCAAAAATTTATATTTTATATTTAAAAATCAAAATATATATCTTATATATTTGTTTATAATTAATTATGTTATTTTTTCATTTTTGCAATTTTCTTTTTTTTTTTAGAAAATCAAGAATCAACTTGCCAATCAATTAACGGTAGAATCGGTAGATGCATCATAATACGTCAGTGTTCAGAATTATTGAATATACTTCAAACACGCCCCCTTAAATCAGAAACTATAGATTTACTAAGGCAATTGCAATGCGGTTTTAATGGTAATAATCCCAAAGTTTGTTGTCCGATTCAAAATACAAATATCGATACAACGTATCGAGACAATAATGAAAATGATATAAAATCGAATCAAAACTCTAAAGAGCAAAACGAGCAAAATACCGATAAAAGTATCGACGATGAGAATTTACATTATGATTTTTCCAACAATTCTTTGATTCCAACCGATTGTGGAAGTGATTTGTCTCAAAGAATTATAGGAGGAGAAATTACAGAGCTCGATGAATTCCCTTGGATGGTACTTCTGGAACATGCCAAACGTAAGTCTTCTTTTTTTCTCTTTCTAAAAATAAAAATATAAAATATTCATCATTTAAAAAATTTACAATAAAAAGTAATATTAACATTTAAAATCTTAACACTTTTCAGCGAATGGAAAAGTTACAATTTGTGGTGGAGTTCTTATCAGTCGACGTTACGTTTTAACGGCAGCACATTGCATTAAAGGAAAAGATTTACCAATTACATGGCGTCTAGAAAGCGTTCGTCTAGGCGAATATAACACCGATACAAATCCTGACTGTGTTCAGGACGATGAAAATACCTTAATTTGCGCGGACGAACCTATATCGGTTGGGGTCGAAGAACAAATGGCACACGAAAATTATCGACCACGTTCGAGAAATCAGAAATACGATATCGCACTTCTAAGATTATCCCGTGACGTTACATTCACCAATTATATAAAACCTATTTGTTTACCATCCACTGCTTCTCTTGGACAAAAACTGTTCGTTGCCGGGTGGGGAAAGACGGAGAACGGTTCATCGTCGAACGTGAAATTAAAAGTTTCTTTGCCTTTTGTCGATAAACAACAATGTCAATCGACTTACGATAATGTGCAAGTATCGCTCGGTTATGGGCAGATTTGTGTCGGGGGACAAAAAGGTAAAGACTCATGTAGAGGAGATTCGGGCGGGCCTTTAATGACCGTGGAGAGAGAACGGAATGGTAATGGAAGATGGACTGTCGCTGGTGTTGTTTCCTTCGGACCATTGCCTTGCGGTATGTTTGGATGGCCTGGGGTTTATACAAGAACAATTGATTTCGTACCTTGGATACTCAGTAAAATGAGACCTTGATCTTTTGTATTTAAATTTCTTCTAATCTTCCCATTTATTTTCCGTACCTGCTCAAAACAAATGAAAGAATAAATTTTCCCATATTCTTTTTGTTCTAATATTTTATGAATAGTTATGATGATTTATGTATGATTTATTAATGACTTTATTATTTTTATCATTTTTAAAGGTTATCGATTATACAGGTCATAGAAAACATCATGTAAAATACGCGTGATGCAATTATTTTTATGTTATATATGTTTGCAAATAAAAATCTTTCATTATTTAAAATTAATTCATTTTCGAAATTGATTCTGCGGAAATCAATTTCTTGAAGAAATTACCCATTTACAGCGAAATTGACGTAAATCTATGTTTCATGTTGAAATTGGAAATTCCATTAAAAAAATTAAAAAAATTATTTTAATTAAATTTCAATTTGTAAGAAAAAAATGACAAGATTTGTTTAGAATTAGAGATAAATATTTTATAGATGTAAAAAATAATATAAAATACGTAAATAGTATATATATAAAATAGTAAGAGAATATTTAGTTTGACGCTTTTTTCGGTTATCGAATAAATTATATATCTTTTATTTTTGCAGTGTTTTAACAACTTATCTTTATTTAAAAATTATTAATTATCTATTTAAAAAAAATAAATCGGTTTTAAAACAAAACAAACATCGTCTCGATATAACGAATCATATTAATTGAGAATTTTCCTCGTAACCCCTTCTCTCTCTTCTTTTTTCAATTGAAGGTTAGTAGACTCGCTCGGTAGATGATAGCAGTTAGTTGAGCGAAGACTCTCACACGAGTCTGTACTCTCGAAAGTAACAAGTAAACAATTTTGCAAAACCAGTTTTTCTATTTCATCGTTGATTTAAAAAAAAAAATTATATGTAATCTTGTTATTTGAATTATCATAATTTTTCTTCCGATAAAAAAAGTCAATTAAGAAAGAAATTGTAAATTTGTGAATATCCTTAAAGAATACGAAGAATACGATATCGTCTTTCAAAATTATTTCAAGAGAGAGAAAAAAGAAACAATAACTTCGAAATCGATATGATTAATCACTTATGTTTAATCATGTTTGTAATCTTATGCGGGGTTGGTGCACGTAAGTGAACTTTCGTTAATAATATAACAATAATTTTCTTCGTTTGATTATTAATTATTATCGAATAAAAATTGACCATTAATATTAGAAATTATCATTGGATTAAAATTTTCTATCTATATGAATAATCCAATGTTATTTTCTTGTTCCTTAATATCGTTCTTACTTATTGTTTTATTTTTATTAATATTTCTTGCTATTTGTCATATGAACGAAAGGAATAACAAACTTAATTCAATAAAATCGTGTAACATTATCCGAACAATACAAATTTATCACTAAGAAAATTATTATTTTTCCTTTTTGTCGAGTAAAAAAATAATATCAACAAACAAAGTTATTGCAGAAAGGAAAATAATCAGTAGCATTGTTGTAAAAAAAAAAAGAAAAAAAAGGGAAAAAAAATTTTGTTCAATTGATGGATATTCTAATGTTCAATTCAATTTTCTAATGTACGTAGTATATACGTTATAAGTTATTATTTCATTCTTGATTGTGATCAGCATTTTATACAATACAACTGAATACGCTTACGAGAGACACTTCTTTACTGAATACTAACGATACGTGACATTTCTCCTTTCGTAGTATCAATAAGAGATCTACTTCGAACTTATTGTTAGTTCGAGATAATCCGAGTAATCCACTTCCGTAAACGAAGGATTCTTTTTATAGAAGATAGATGTACCACACCACAGAAAAAAATTGGTGTTTGCATCGATATACGTGATTGTCAACCACTGGTAAAAATTCTTAAACAAAGACCAGTATCAGTAGAATCTGTTAATTATTTGATCAGCTTTCATTGTGGATTCAATGGTAATTATTCAAAAGTATGTTGTGAAACACAGGTAAATATTTTTTTATAATTATTACATTCAACTTTAGTCAGATAGAAGGAAATGTATAACAACAGAATATAACTAATTTAGAATCCAGTAAAAGATGAATCAAACTCATCTGCAATTTCTGAACCTCCGGATGTCACGAATCATCCGAATTTATCATTACTGAATCATGATATATGCGGCCCAATAACGGAGCAAAAAATTTTCGGTGGTAATACAACCGGGATATTTGACTATCCATGGATGGCGTTACTCTTTTACGACACAGGAAATTTAATTCCGGAATTTCGATGCGGGGGATCATTGATTAATAAACGATACGTACTCACTGCTGCTCATTGTGTTACATCGTTACCATCTGGTAAGTATGACTATAACATGAACCGATTTATTTTTTCTTTAATCCGTAACATAATGTGATATTCATATTGATCGAATATTTTAGAACTCAGATTAGTCGGAGTACGATTAGGAGAACATAATTTTAGAACTGAACGCGATTGTGAGAAAGAAGCGGACGAACTTGAAGTTGTTTGTGCTGAGAAATATCAAGATTTCAGTATAGAGAAGACTCATTTTCATCCAAAATTTTCACGAGGAAAATTACAGAATGATATTGCTCTGGTACGATTGAACAACGACGCTGATTTTAGACCGCAAAATGTTCGACCGATTTGCATGCCAATCGGATCAGCCGCCATCTTATCTCAAAAAAAAGTAAATATGATAATCAAATATTGTGTGAACGTGTTCTCGAATTATTTAATTATTTTCATCATAAAATCAATTGATTTTTATGTTTAGGTAACAGTAACAGGTTGGGGTACAACTGAACTTGGATTACGTAGTCAAGAATTGTTACAAGTTCATTTGTCATTAGTAAATATAGAGAAATGTGCACAAGTATATAAAGAAAGAAAAACACAAATTTGGTATAAACAAATATGCGCAGGTGGCAAAAATGGTATGGATTCTTGTTCGGGAGATAGTGGTGGACCACTCCAAGCCCCAGGAATGTATAATAATAATCTAAAATACATTCAATACGGACTTGTTAGTTTTGGACCCACTAAGTGCGGTCTAGAAGGAGTACCTGCAGTTTATACTAATCTTGTATATTACATGGATTGGATTCTAAATACTATTAGCGCATAAAAAAAGAATGCTATTAATTTAATTTTTTAATTATGTAATTATTGTTGATATTGTTGATATATTATTTTTTTTAATTGTTAATTATTGTTAATTGTTATTTCAAAGATATCTAAAACTATAAATCCAAATATCCTAAAGTTCCTAAAATGAAAAAAGTTATTACGTTTTCAGTTATTTTTGATTAATAACAATCATCGCTATCATGAAATATGAATGTTCCAGTCTTGAGTCTTCGAAAATTTGAATATATCAATTAATAATATACTAGATTCTTAGAATTAAGAATTTATAGATTCTTAGAAGTAAGGATGTAAGATATTTTAAAGATATTTTGACAATTAATTTAATATTATTAATATTAAAGCTCTTTATTTATAAGAGTTTGCTATAAATATTATATTATGATCATATATGATATAAATATATTAATTACTTAATCACATTGTATAATTAATATTTATATATTTTAATTTTGCTAACATTAAAGTAAAATCTTATAAATTATATATTTATTTGAACACACACACACACATACATAAAACTAAAAGCTATTAATATTATTAATTTAATGTTCTCTGGTTATCTTTTCTCTATCTTTTTACAATAAATTGCGATTAGTAAATATTAATTAAATAATTATTTATTGAACATCAGTAATTATCTCTGTATTGTGGTTATTATGTAATGTATTTTTATTGCAATTATCATTAGAGATTAAATATTCATTATTGCACAATTTTTTGTTTTCGTTTTGATCTTCAATAAGCTCTGCAGTTTCTTTTATTGAAACTTTTAACTGGTTGCGATTAGTTTTCTTTTTTGAAAGTAAAGTTTGAGATTTAATTATCGATTTTTCAGAAATTTGTGATATAGATGTATTTGATGAATTTAAAGATTGATTTGATAAGAGACTACCCGAAGAACTTAGGGATTCAGAATCTGATTTAGAAATATTTTCGTAATTTATATATGAATTCATGGTACTCAATTCTTTCTTTTTTCTTCTTCGTTGTAATATTTTTGAATTATTAACATTCTGTTGTGTCTGAGTCAACAATTGATAACTCTATAAAAAAAATATTCTTATATAAACAATAATTTCCTTTGTTTTTATTATTCCTTTGTTATTATTATTGATCTTCATTGTTTTATTTATTTTATAGTTTCAAAGAAATCAATTTTATTCACCTGAGAATGACGTTCGAAAAGAGTTGGTATTTGTGTTACACGATCCAACATCATTTCCATTTGTAATCGATGACGTTCCGCTTGTTCACGTGCTTCATCACGACGAAGCAAAGTTCGAATGTTAAGATCTCTTTCGTGTTCGTGCCTTACAATTGAAAATTTATATATAAATATATATAATCATATATACAATATTAATATTTTTTATTTTTTTATTATTATATAACATACTATTGAAAAAATTTTGCAAGTACGATCTAATTTTTTAAAAATCGCACCTCACTGCAGATCTCAAAGCGCGCCATACTGGATTACGTCCAATCAAAGATTGTTTAATTTTTATAGCTTGTTCTCGACGCTTCTCTTCCATTTTTTCCCTTATTTCACGTTCTAATTTTTCTCTGTAAACATAAATATTTTGTAAATAAAAAAGTGTAAATTTCTTTCATTACAATTTTAAAAATAAACATTTATTGAAATTTTGTATAATATTATAATACCGTGACACTTGACATCTTAAAATTGCTGCTAAATTATTTCCTCGTATAGGCAAAAGTGGCATCATAGATTTACATCTTTCTAATGACATTGAATTATTATTTGATATTTGCGAAACATTTTTATTTTCAATATTTTTGTTACAATCTTTAAATGTACTTTGTAACCGTGTGCACGCAGATTTGATTCGTTCTCGTCTCGCCATCGACGGAGGTAAAGATGATGATTTCATTAATTGCGCAGCTCTTAATCGTTTTTGTAATTGTCTGAAAATTGTAACGCATTATACAGTCGATTCATAAAATAATAAATTTATAAATTATTATATTTACCTGCCATATTCATCTTCAAGCATACGATCATATATTTCTGTACTGAAAAGATTTTTTGGTACTGGTTTAGCTTTAAATTTTGTACTTACATTAACATTTTTACTACAAATTTCTGGGCTAGATCTTGCTAAAAACCTCCAAGCTCGACGATCGCATTCGAGTTTAAAAGGGCGTACTTGAGACATTAAATTTAAGGCACTTTCTTCACGAATTATACGACTTCTAAAAGATAAATATTTATAATAACTGTAAATTTATTATTATATATCAATGCAAATAAAGATTAAAGTATGAAAAATATAAACATAAGATATATATAAAAGCAAACCGTTCTTCCTTCTCAGCCAATAATTTATCATAAAGTGGAATTTTTGATGTAAGTGGAATCGATCTTACACGTCGTTTTCTATATACATTTTTTTTATTATTTCTCACATTTTTATATTTTTGTTCTTCCATTTTAATATGTTTCATGTGCTTTTCTGCTTCTTCCCTAAAATATATAATATATTATTATTTTATTTATCCAATATAAATAAATCAATTAATTTGTTATTAGAAAATAAAAAAATATATATAAAAAATATAATTATTTTACCTTAAAGTAAAATTAAATGGCTTAGGTACAGTAGGATGCCATTCTTTTGTAATATTGGCTGGTAAGCTCCTTGTTTCTGCATTATCTATATCACTTTCAATATTATCATTGGTATTTATCTTATTGCATGTACTCCAATTTTTATTATTCAAATATATTTTCTCCTTACATTCAGTTCCATTTTCCTTATCTCTTCTACTACATTTAAAAATGGTAACACAATTGCAGCCATAATTAGATAAAAGAAATTCACTTCTACCTAATCATATATACCTATTTGTTAAGAAATCCTGATCTTCTGAGATTTCATTTTCATTAAGTTTACTAGAAAGAAAAAGTAATGGACTGGGACTAGAAGATTCTTCTAAATAACACTTTTTACCATTCAATGTTAAATCATTAATATCATTTTTATTTTTGAACTTTAATTTTTGATTAAACACTGAAAATTTAGATTCATTTATATTTTTATGATCAATCAGAGAATTTTGTAAATTTTTTAATAATAATTTTTGTTTCCTTTTTAAATAATCTACTTTTTGTTTAAACTGCTCATTTGATAAATGATGAACTTGACCATAATCTGGTATACTATCCAAAAATTCTAAAAAAATATCCATATCTTCTGTAGAATTTGATATCTTACATTCAGTAACAAAGTGATCATTTTTTATAAAATTCATGTTATATCTATTATAAAGATCATTATCTTCTTTATTCTTTTTAGATTCAAGACGTTCATAAGAAGGAATTGGTTGCCTATTACAAGGATTTACAGGAACTTTCACACAAGAATTATAAAAAGATGTACCTTTATGTTCTGTCATTGCCTATTTTAATAAATAAATTTTTATTATTATATATTTTCAATGAAAATCTGAAAATTTAATTTTTTTTTTTAAACATTTTATACAAAAAATATTTCAAGTTTATAATAATTTAAGTTTAATAATAATTATAATTAAGTCGAAGAAAAATGTATTTTACATCAATATTTAAATAAAATATATCAATATATGTTTATAATATGTTATAAAATAAAATAGTTAAAATATTAATTTGTACAAAATTAAATTATTATATTTTTCGTATAAGCAAATATCAATACTCACCTATAAATTTTATGATGAAATTTACAATATATTAAAAGATAGATATAAAAATCAGAAATAAAAGATAATAATTTGTAATAAAAAATTATTTTTATTATAATTTATTTTTATTATATGAAATTTGTCATATATACATTTTTTAAAACTTAAATTCGATTCTCTATTTTACACTATCCTAATAACTACAAATAAACATCTTTTAGAGAAGATCAATATAACCTTGCTATATTCGTCACCATGGTGAATAAAATAAAGTATTAATATAAGTTTTTTATAATAATTAAAAAATAAAATTAGGAATATAAATATAAAAATTAAAAAATATTTAAATAATTTATTTTATTTATAATTTGATTTCAATGAATTTATTTAAATATATTTAAATGTATACATTTAAAATATTTTATAGCATTAAAAGAAATTATTATTATGTAAATTTGATTGCAAATATTAAATGAGTTAATAAAAAATAAATAAATAAATTTATGTATGTACTATAATTATAAAAAAAAACTTAAACTTATAATGTAATAATAGATGTATTTCCATAGAATATTACAAAATTAACAAATATTATTAAATAATCATGAAATACAATTTAGATGAAATTGCAAACGACCAATAAGGAATTCTTAGAAGTTTGAAAAATATTTATTTACTATTACTATTTACTATTTTTTATAGAGTGTAAATCATATTTATTAATCAGAAATAATCCTGTATTTCCGCTACCAAATCGCATAATTAGTAATAGTAATTTTAAAATAAAATTTTTAAATAAAAAAAATTTTAAATAATTTAATTAAATTATTTGAATAAGTAAATTAATCTTGTATTATTAAGATTAAAAGAGGCATCGTCCATCATATTTAGCATAATTTTAATATAATTTCTTTTAAAATAATTTCAGTTTGTATACCATAAATGTATATAAACATTTAGGTATAAATTGTATTGAATATAATAGAAAACAAAAATGGCGATTTTCGGAAAAGCAATGATATTTTGTGATGTATTAGCATTAACTTTAAAAAGATGTAAATATATTATTTCTAATGGATCAATGCTTACAACAAAATCTTTTTCTATCTCTACACAAAATCATGAAAATTATGATATTATTATTACTGGAGGTGGTATGGTTGGATCTACATTGGCATGTGCAATAGGTTAGTCTTTTTCTTTTATTTAAAAATTATATGTAAATTACATTTTAATTATATGTATTTTTTTATATTTTGTAATAGCAAATAATAGAAAACTTGAATGTAAAAAGATTCTCTTATTAGAAAGT